ACTGTATACAACACAACAATACTGCTATATAGCACCGTATGATAATTTTTTAATAATAGTTATAAAAATGATTATCAAAATATAAAAAAATTATAATTAAATATAAGTCTTAATTTTGTTGACACGAAGAGTCGTTATCTAACGGAAGGCAATCATTCAATGGTATAATTAAAGTAAATTTTCAGATGAGTTGTAAGTCTTGTGTTTATAAATGAATGTCTGAATACGTGAGCCGTAGCCGTGCATCGCCTCCTACTTTACGGGCCTTCAGGGGCTTATACTTTAGGGCTCATACATGCCTTTTATATACTTATATCAATAGCTAAGATATGTATGGATGAACCGGTGCTATAATAAAATTCATAATATATTTACTAAAAATTGTAGCATTTATGTAATGTGCAATCAATTTAATACATTTGTTGTTATTTTTATTATTAGAAATATAAAAAAAAATAATTTCATTTTTTCCTTAACCCATTCGGTACATACGGTATAGACTAATAATAGCAAAAATAATGTTTTTCATATTAAATGAAAAATAAAAGCAAAAATGTTGGCAAATGCTTAAAACGTGAGAAAAACTTATAATTTGTTATTATATAAAGTTTTATATAATATTATTATAAAATTTAATAATAAATAAATGGAAAGATTCCAACAAAATAGGACTTATATATATATATATATATATATAACTAAATAGTTTAATAACTATAACGAAAAAAACAAATATTTTTATAATCAATGGTACAGTATTTTAATAGTGAATTTTTCGTTTAAAAGAAATAATTTAATAATTTTTTTATTTTTCATTAAAATATTTATAACCAATGTATGTATTTTTTAAAATAGTACAATGCAAGTGATGTTCACATATGCATGAAAACAGTAATACCATAGACTAATAATATTAAATTAAATCTATATTCCAGTATATTATAAGTTTATTTTATACAGTATATAATATACTATATATTAATAATATAAATACAATTGATGTGATTGTTTAATAGTTGGCATTTGTCTCTCTCTTTAAATTTCTCACGATTTCCCAGACATTCAAATTATGCATAAAGTTTTCAAAGACAATACACTAATCTATAATACAAGTGAAACATATTTTGAGGTCAATCTCCTTAAATATATTTTTTATTTATTATTTACTATAAAATTTTATTTGCTTGAAATCAAAACAATATCAATAAATGTGTCAAAACATAATTTATATTTTATAAATAATATATATTATAATCTATATAACATATGAAGGATATGCCGGACATAAACTACTATTTAATAGGAAAGGCGGCCTTACAGGTGCTCTTCAATAATATTTTTTTTATTAAAACACTATAATGAATATGATTGTTATATATTATAATAAAGATAACTAAATAATTTTTTAAAAGAAATATGAAACTAATAAATTGAGTGCTAATAATAATAATAGTAATGTTTGATAATTTATATCATTTATAAACAGTAGAAATTATCAGCAAAAGTCTCCCGCTGTTTGTTAGTTGCAATTTAATTGCCAATAAATATTACTTAAGATAAATGTTATAAGCATTTTATATTAAACAACAACAAAATTATTATCATCCATAATATGATATAAAATTTAAAGACTGTTTGTCTATTGTTGTCTAAAAACACTATATTTTTAGCCAAAATGATTATTTAATTAAAAAGCGAAGAGTTATTACTTCAAATATTTTTTTTCAATGCCATCAAATCTTAATGTTGTTGTTATTTATTTGTTTGTTTGTTGTTGAAGATCATAATAGATCATTAGTTGACTAATAAAGTCAAGGCTAATGTTCATCTAATATATCATTACAACAATTTTTATGTAATCTTTTTTTATATTATTTAGTTTACAACAATAGATCTTTATTTTATCATAATATCACTTGAAATATAACATTTCGCAACAAAATAGCTATTAAAATACACTATTAAAGTGATCCTAAAGTTTGGACACTTAAAGCTTCTTTTAGAAGGTATTTCAAAACAAATATAAAATCTTAGTTTTTGTCGTAAACCAGAAAACTATTTTTCATTGATAAATATAACTATAAATTCTATTAAAAAATTTGGTCCAATTTTTTAATATATTAGGAAATTGATTTTGATCTCTCTCTCTCTCTCTCTCTCTCTCTCTCTCTCTCTCTCTCTCTCTCTCTCTCTCTCTCTCTCTCTCTCTCTCTAATTGGCATATTATATAGTTGTTTGAATTGTTTGACAAATCGCTTATTTTCTGCAAAATAGGTAAAACTATTAAGTTATTGAACTTCTTTTTTATTATTTTTTTTATTTAAAAAAATTTGCTTAAAAATTATTGATATTTCTATTTCTGATTTTTGTTGCCGTAAGAGATACAGCAATTTAATAATAGATAGTTTAATATATTATAATATTAAATAAATTTTTTTAATTTAGTTGTCAAACAAAGTGAAATGTTTAAACTCCTAATAGATATTTGTTGTTAAATCAGTGTGCGGTCAGCCTCTAGATATCAAACATTAAAATATTTGTTGCCTTAAAACAGGAATCAATTGCTTAAAATGCTAAACATATGCTATCATATCTTATATTATTGATATATTATATTAAAATAAAACAAATTTTTTGAAAAAAATTAATCTCAAAAAATCAGGTTTATATAAAATACAAATATATAATAATAGACACAGTTTATTGAATAAAATGTATTAAATAAAATTGTATATTTACAATAAAATACAATTACAATTTTTTTAGCAAAACTACAATAAAGTCAAGCAAATTGTGTTTATTCAGTATTTGATAGTTATTAAGCAATTTTATCATTCAATCATATTATAATATCATTGATTTGTAGTTTATTTCATTCATCTACCAGTTGAATAAATACTTTAGTAATAAAAATATTTAGTAATAATTAAAATACTTATTTATATGTTTTTAAGTAAATATTCTCATAACAGTTTTATATACAGTATAAATAGTTAAATTGCTAATGAGATAGAAATTATTTAAACATAATTTGTTTAACAAGTAATTAAAAGATTCAAGTAATTGAGAGCAATAATTAGTTTAAATGATAAATTCTTATTATTATCGATGATTAAAAATATTTGTTGGTAATCAATATAAAAAAATATTTAAGATAAATATTTAACACATAAACAGTAACACTTGTCGATCAAATTTGTTATCGATTTTTTATAAATAGATGTATAAAATTTATTTATATATTCTAGTAATTATAAATATATATAAAGTATATATAAAGAAAATAATGATAATATTTAAGACATTGTAAAACAAATAAAATATTTGTGAGTCTAATTTTAATATATAAATTCACGGTTTGCCGACAGCGCACTGCAATACTTCCCATTTTTTGTCGGTTTATCAATAGTTATATATCATTATAATCGTGTATATCATTGTCATATCGTCCATACGTTATATAACTTTACTGTTATACTTATATATTATTGTTGGCATTCAATTGACATATAGTTTAGGCATTCATTCAAGCGATATATTTATATTTACAGATTTTTACATATATTGTTTTTTTAGTAGAAAACAACTATTTGCTATTCCCTAAAGTAGCGTATAATAGCCATATGTTTCACGATTATTAAAGATAATTATAATTTATAAAAAAACATTTCAAGAATTATATAATTACAGGTAAAGGTATAAAACAAAATGTGAGGCCAACTAAATAATATTTGAATATAACATGCAATCGTATTAGAAAAAAATATTATGTCACCCAAAAGTATAGGCGTATTTTTTCTGACACATGTTTTACATAAAATATAAATTATATGATGTAATTTAATATATTCAAAAATTTTTTGTTATTGATATTTTTGACAACATGGTTATTTTGATTTTAATCGGTATATATTTTAACTTTTCAAAAAATTGTGTATCAATTTTTTCAATATATATTAAAACACTTTAAAAAGCTATATTATTAGAGTCAAAATATGCATCAGATATTAGTCTAAATATTTTAGAAAAACTTTTAAAAACAATCTTTATTGAGATTACATAGTGTTTTAATAATAGATAAATAATACACAAAACATTATATACTGTACAACAAATTAAAGTTGTAAATATATCGATAAAAGAAATGATTATAATTATTATTCATATAAATAACTAAAAATTATTTATTACTGTTGTATTATTATTATTTATTTTATTTTTACTGTTACTTTAAATTTTAATTTTTTGACACCACTGCTTAACTGCTAAACAAATCATAAAAATAGCCCCCGGTATGTGTCATAACTTTTTTTTAATTTTCTAAATTTAATGGAGCACTAAAAAATTATTTACTGAAAAATTTATATTAGAGAGAGAGAGAGAGAGAGAGAGAGAGAGAGAGAGAGAGAGAGATTTAAAGTATGTAATGAACAATGAAGCGAAAAATGAATGCAATTATCGATAATTTATAATTTATTTGCAAAATCTGTGTTAATCCTTTGGTACAGTTTTTTAATAATCAATTATTTATATATATTTTCAATGTTATGACAAACACACAACTCATCGCAATATTTATCGTATAAGTTGCTTACGAGTTGTTTATTACTTATTAATATTTATATAATTATTAATACAAAAAAAACATACAAAATGTTTATTATATTTATATTATATATTATTTGAATATGAATAACAAAATAATCACAAGAGATAATCTAATGATAAATCTCTTAACAACTCTGACATACAGTGCCAACGCACAGATGGATAACAACGTGACGCCCGTCTATTTGGCCGCTCAGGAGAGTCATACAGAAGTACTGAAATATCTGGTATTACAATCGGGAGGATCTCTTCACATCAGAGCCAAAGATGGTATGTCACCCCTTCACGCGGCCGCACAAATGGGTGCACTCAGGTGTCTCAAATGGATGGTATGTCTAGTCATCTTAACTTTTTAAAAAAAAAAATAGTATTGAAACAAACGAAACTAATTTTAAAAACAAATAATTGTATTTTTTTAGATTGAAGAACAAGGAATTGATCCAAATCTTCGAGACAACGACGGGGCCACTGCTATCCATTTTGCCGCCAGTCGAGGACATACCGATACATTGAGATGGCTGCTAAAACACGGCGCCAATATTACATTAGACAAGTACGGCAAAAGCCCACTAAATGATGCGGCAGAAAATGAGCACTTGGAGGTAGGAATACATAATTTACATAATAATAATAATAATCAAATGAATTATTAATTTATATTGCAATCCAGTAATTAACGATTGCATTGAAAAAACAGTAATACAGTATTGCTTTATCATCACATCATTTTATTTTTAAAATTATATTTTATAAGTCAAAGAGCTATTATAAATCACTGTTTATATACGCAATAGTTTATTACTATACAAAAAATAAAATTAATTGTATGAAATTAAATACTAAAAAATAATAATAACTTATTTAATAACTACTGTAACTTATTTTATTGTAAAAGTAATAGGAAAATAGGAAAATATTATTTTTAAAAATATTGAAAAAATACTACAGAACTATAGGTACATAAGTATTGGATAATTATCTAAAGTATAATACAGTATAATAATAATAATAATAATAATAATAATAATAATAATAATAATAATAATAATAATAATAATAATACCAACAATACTGTAGATGTGATTATGCTTTCGTAATCTCTTATGATTTGATAGTTTTTGATATTTATATTAAAGATATTCAATTAATTTTTCTATGTTTCATAATTATTACTGGTATTTATATTTAATTGAAATTTCATCAGTTATTGTATATTATTTATAAAGTTTAAAAAAAACAATTTATTTAACAAATATTAAATTTTGATGGACTTTAAATTATAGTTGTATAAATAGTAAAACAAAATAGCATAATTAAAAAGAAAAAATAATACTTAAGCTATTTATTTTCAATAATATTGTGATTGAAAATCTACTTAATAAACAAAAATCATTAAAAAAATAATAATATTTATTATTGTATATTATATTTCAAATACATAAATAATTGTATATAAACTTAACAATGATTGTGTTCAATGATAACTAATAATTAATGTTATTATATGATTGTTCAGAGTATGACAGCAATGGTGCTAATGATATGATGTTTTTAAAAAAGACATTTCAATTATTATTTTATTATATAAATAACTAATATTTTTCAGCAAATTTTTCCTAAAAAAACTTTAATTAAGTAAAATAAAACTATTTTTTCTTAATAATATTCAAAATATTACAACTAAATAGTAATAATTACTATTTTTTCTCCCAAATAATTATCATTGAAAATAGTGTCTCAGTTTATTGATATCTCACGCATCAGATCCGAGAAACCAGAGCGACATTAATTTAAGTCATAGTCAAGGCTTTATTGCCACTAATTTAAGCCCTAATGCATCACATTTGAGTAGTCGATCCCAATATAGCCGGTGTACGTGTCATCACAGTCCGGGCTCAAGAAAATTGTCGTCAAAAAGTGTAAGTCATGGCATAAATAAAAATTAATGGTTTGTGTATGTAATCCACATTTATATTGGATTTATATTTTTAAAAAGGAACCGGAAGTCCAATATTCTGCAATCCCTAAGAAGCAAGAATTATGTGGTTGTAATTCATCGTCAAGTGATGAATACCAGTGCGAAACGTCCAGAAATTCTCGTTATAGTAGAGCTGTTCGTAACAGAAATGGACCGTACGATGCATTGATCACCGGTAGACCAATGTATGAACAACACAAAAGAAGAGCCGATTCCAAACACTATTATCCCAAAGGAATATCCGATTCCGAGACCATCAATAATGATAGACTACTCAAGAGTCCGGCCTCTAATCACCGCCGGTGCAGAAGCAACAGTAGTCAGAGAACTAATGACAGCGGAAAGGATTCGGCGGCCAACAGTCCGTCCCAATTGAGTTCCTGTTGTGCCGAACCATTCTATCTGCACGAACCACACATGACATCCAATGATAGAGTCAAACAATTGTTTGAAAAAGAAAAAAGAAATGGTTCCATATCTTCGAGGATTAAAGACGATTACGTTTACAGCTCAAGACATAACAAACATTTGGGTAAAACATAAGTTTTATTTAATTTTAACTTTTCGACAATTATTGTCGTAATTACTATAAATTTCTTAGTAACAGCCGAAGTGCATCAATCATCAGATGATTGTATGAGTCTTTCAGAGACCAGTGATCCCGTACCCGACTACGATATCGACGAACCAGAAAGTAGTAAGACATCAACTCTGACCTCCGATGACAGCAGTAATGGCCGAACCGGTCAATTTGGTGCGCCATCCATATCGTCGTCAGAGGTGTGCAGCACCAGCACTGATGAAGGCATTTATCAAGAGGTTGAGGACGAGTTGACTGAAGACGAAAGAGAGGGTCGGCTCAACAAAAATTGTAGGCCATTGGGACTCAATAACAATAATACGGAGCAAAATAGCAATAAAGAGATTAAAGAGCCGGTCGTGTCGTCAATAGTTTGTGCCAATAGTGAAGTGAAGCGTAAAGAAAGTGTTGTTTTTCATAATCACGAAACAAATGATCAAAAAATTTATGAGAAATCGAGCGAAACGTTGTGTGAAACGAATAAATCACAAGAAAACGAGCGATTAATTAAGGAAACAGATTCTCATAATAAGACACAAACAGATATCGACCACAATTCACATACTAATGACAATAACAGTGTGTCGTCCCCTATCACTGTATGTCCACCCCCTCCTCCACCACCACCTCCGCCGCCACCCATTCCCGGAAACTTCATGACAACTAATGATGATTTGGATAAGAAAAATACGGATAAATCGCAAAATAGTGAAACTGAGAGAACACCCCGTTATGAGAAGTTTTCGGTAAAAAAAGGTAAACTACCGGCGCTTCCATTCATTCCTCCGCAGTTCTCGAGTCCGCCCGATTCGGATACTAACATAAGACCGTCGGAATATCTAAAACGTGTGGCCAATCGTACTGTATCTGCATTTCCAGTTCCCAAATATGGTTATTTAAATCAAAACAAATACTATGGCATTGAACGCAAAATTCAAAGAAGTGTATCCGAAAATCATTTGTATGTTAGCAATGACTACGAAAGTATTAAAGGAATTTCTGATAACAGTGACAATGAAGACGACGATGAAATCACTTCCACCACAACAGATGTCTACTGTTCTGACTCTAATGTCAGCGAAACAAAATCGGTGGCCAAGAGTGAGGTTCCAAGTGTTTGTTCGGCAAAGATTCCAATTTCTCCCGTTTCGACACTTTCTGCCAACTCGTCGGTTGCATTCAGTGTAACCAAAGAAGACTTGCAAAAGGTCTTCTTAAAGAAGACTGAAAAGCCAACCAATGAACGATCGGTTTTGTTGCGGAAGAATGATTTGATTGAAGAATTGAAAGCAACTAAAGATTTGGAAGGAATTAAGAAAGTGAGGGAACAAATGAAGAGTAAAAATGAGGTATTAATTAAATGATTATATCTTTCGATTAATTAAGAAAATAACATGTTTTGGACTGTATTTAAGGTCAAAGAGAAAATGGCCGAAATTGCGGTCAACTATCAAACGGAGAACTTTATGGATAAGATTCCCGATAAAGATCCAAAAGGTGTAGTTATTCCTCAATGGAAACGACAAATGTTGGCCAAAAAGGCGGCCGAAAAGGCCAAGAAAGAAGCCGAAGAAGCAGTGGTTCGAGAATTGGAAGAGAAAAGAGTGAACGCTATACCAGAGTGGAAGAAAAAACTCAAGAAGAAGGAAGAAATCAATACAACTGCTCCTAAATATATAAAGTATTTATTTGATTATTAAATATAGGATTTAGTATTTGTGCTCAAATTACATAAATATTTTCTAAAATATTTAAATACAGGAAAATTAATTTAATCAAAATTAATTTTTGCATATATAGTGTACTGTATTATAGTGTGGCAAACAATTAATAAGTGAGACATTGTGTGCTAAATGTTAACACAAAATATATCATATTTTGTATCATTGCATCTGATTTCAAATGTTTTACAATAGTTTAATATACAGATCTGTATATAGAAATAATTTAATAACCTATAATATAGAGTATACAATGTATTATTAAAATAATTACATATAATCTAAAATGTCTAAACAATTTCAGTATTGTTGATAGGTTTAAATTTTTTTGTAACTTAACTTAGTTTCAAATAAATACATCAAAAATACGAAAACAGTTAATTAGTTGTGATTTTTTTTATTTGTTTGATTCAAACAAAAGGGTGAAGACATGCTCTAATGGTTCACAAGACATCCAAAATGAAGAACAAAAAACAACACCAGTTTTGAAAAATTTCTTAACAAAAGCTAATTCGGGACCAAATTATAGCAATAATAGTAAAGTCAACGTAAATGAAAAACAGTTACAAGAAATAAACTTTTCTGAATATAAAGAAAATGATATCAAAGAGGAAATTTGTAATCATATTAATGCAAATAATGTTAATCTAAATAAAGGTAATAATAATAAAAAACAGGATTTGGCGAATCCATTCCTCAAGAACTTTCAATTGAGAAAAACAAATAGCATTTACTGGTAATCTATTGACTAATTAAATCAAAATATTCATAAAATTTGTCACTAATCTGATATATATATATATATATTAATTCATAAAATTAAATGCATTATTTCATGTACAGTAACTAAGAAACTAAGTTTAAATATATATAAATTATAATGATTTTTTGTTAAAATTTAATAGATATAATTACATAATATAAAATACAAATCAATATGTATAAGATAATTATTTGTATAATTGTTTGATTAAAATTCTTTTTTTTATAAATAAATTAAATTTACATACCGTATACTTATTATTAATTATCGTTAAAGAATCGTAAATTACATTAATTTAAGAAAAAGTAATGTTAAATATAAATTAAATTTATGTAAATTTAAAAAACTCAATAATCAATGGATCAACAATTGAATGGAAATTGTTATTAAATAAATAAATTAATTAAAATAATATGGTTTCTTCACATTAATGCCGTATTCAGCCAATGCTGGACTCAGATCCTCCATCGTTAGGGTATATCTCTTGTCTTTAGTTGTCTTTTTGCTTTGTCCGGCGCCACGCATTTTGCAGTGTTGTAGCGCATCGTTGACCACATCGGAGATAAATTTTTGTGCGGCCACTGATATCAGACGGACGCTATTTTCATATAATTTTTTTTTTAAGGAATTATATGGAAATTAAACACACAATTAATATATATTATACACACAAATAAGTATATATTTTAATTATAAATCAATTTTTTATATTATAATTAATTATTAATAATACAAATTCATTCATTGACTTACATCCTGGGATCTGATGCATCAAATCCTGATGTATTCAGATAATGAACAGTCACTGCATCGGGAATCTGATGATTGCAAACATAAATTAAATCACAAATTAATTAAATAAAAATAAATTCATTGATAATATCTTACAGTTGGTGTGTAATCCTCTAAATGGCTGAGAAAGTCAACTAACGGTTGGCCGACATGTTTGAGATTAGAGGTAACGTTAGAGCCATTTGTCGGTATCTCTTCTGTCATCAATAATTCCGGTTGTGATGTGCTTTCAGTCATGTCTTCGATTGCCATCGGAGTTGACGCGCCGTTTGATTGGTCTTCCAATGTGTCCATAGTTTGCCAACGATTTTGTTTTCGGTCTGTTTTTTGATTATTTTCGGTCCACTCTATCTTCTTCAGCAACAATGATCACAATGTAAATCAATTGATTCAACAAAAGTATGTTTTATTAAACAATATGATTGTTGAATCCAGAAGTATGTGATCAACGAGTTATCAATTGATGGATCAAATGTGTGATCACTTGAAACACTTGTATTATATATAAACACTTAATAAACACAAACCTATTGTCAAACATATATTGTCTATACGTATAGTACGTACAGTCAGTCAACACAAATGTAATCAACTTTTTAATGTATCGTTACTTCAATTTTATTTATATTTAATTTTAAATTAATTAAAATAATAGTAATAATTATTATTCAGTTAATTGTCACTTAGCGTAACATTGAATATATTATTTTTTTTTTTAAATCCAATTAATAACTTAGTTTATAATAAGTCAGCAATGATTCATCAATTTATTTATAATACAGTATTTTTTTCTCTCAATTTATAGGCAATTTAGTAAATCGTATTTGAATTAAATGCCATTAATTAAAATTTATTGCAATCAGTCATTGATTTAAATTTAGATTTATTGGATAATTTAGTTGTAATTAAATGCATAATACAAAATATAATTAGAATAATAGTAATATTAATAAAAACTATGTTTTGTAAGTTCAAAATGTTTATTTGATACGACATTCAATAACTACCGTAATTTTATGGTTAATTTTTTATTATAAATAGTTAGTTAGAAAATTTATCCAAATATTGGTTTTCGGTTACATTTCATTACACCGGTGGCGGCGGAGGAGGAGGTGGCGGCGGTGGAGGGGGTGGCGGCGGAGGTACCATCATATTAGACATTTGTGTCATCGGCATAGATGGTGGTGGGGGTGGTGGAGGCATAGGTGGTGCGGGAGGTTGAGCACCGGGTCCAGACATATATACATTCCAAGGATTACCATTTGATGCTTGTGTTTGAGTAGGGGGTGGCGGTGGAACTGGAGATACACTTGAGGTGTTCCAAGTGTTTTGAGACCAACCCATTTGGGTATTAGCCGCCGGATTATAGATATTGTTTTGAGTGTAAACATCACCCATTGGATAGTGATTATTGTTATTATTCATAAGATAACTTTGCGATGTTGGCCAAGAATTCATTGATGTGGAAGTGGGCCACGAATTGTTAGGTTGTGCCATATTTGGTGTCGGCAAAAGTGGTGTTGTCATAGCAGTAGTAGTATTAGTAGTATTGGGTGACATTGAATAAGCAGATGAAATAGGAGGTGGTGGCGGTGCGGCTATAGCTCTGGGTGCAGCCGAACTACCAGTGAAGCCAATAGTTGGACCCGAACCAGCAGTTATTGAATTGCTACTAGACTTTGGTGGTGGTGGCGGTCCTTCACCCAATTCAGCCATTAAAGACATGTATTCCTCATCGATCTTAGACTGATTGACGGGACCGGTGGGTGTCTTCTTTTCTTTACAATCGCGGGCAATATGTCCGACACCATTACAATTGGTACAGACGACATTGTTGGTCACATTTGGTTTGTCCGGACACTGCCACGAACGGTGTACTGTTGAGCCACAGTTGGAACAACGCGGACCATCACTCTCGCGAAGAGTACCGTTCAGAAGAGCCAACTCTCGTAATTGCATTCGTCTTAAATCGTTCTGATTTTCGGGTACTTCTATGCCCTGACGGATCACTTCCTTAATCTGATTATTATTTAATAAATATAATTAAACTACAATATAATGACTAAAATTTTAATAAAATTCTTTGCTTACTCTGGCGACAGCTTTAATGACCGAATCGTGTGTCAGACCAGTAATAAATGCATGTAAGGGTTCGTCTTCACCCGGCATTGGCTGACCATCCTTTCGGCCAATTTTTCCTTCCTTTACGGATCCTTTTCCTCTAATAATAATCTTAGCATTCGTCTAAAAATACAACAAAAATTATAATATAAAGAAATATCAAAATAATAATAATACAAACATCTCTTTCCATGGACTTCAATGTATTACCACGAGGACCAATAAGAAGTCCTACAAAATTAATATCAGGATATTCCTCCTGAGGTATCAAAACCTTTTCACTAATCTTGAGTTGTGGAGCCCTAACAGTAGATAAAAATGTCATCAAAAATTGTTTCATTTATTTAGTTTTAAATGACTAACTTGTAATCAGCCGGTGGTTTATACAATGGATTTAATGCATACATCTCTTGAATACAATCGTGTCTTTTATCTTCTAATTTCTTTCTGGTTCTAAACTCTCGAGTATTAAGTCGTTTGCCTTCATTATTATAGATAGGCTCGGGAGAGGGTGACCTGAAATGAGACAGCGGGTATGTCGTCTACAATCTGTTCAATCATTTTTGGGGTTTTTATATTTTGTATGATATTTATAATAATAATAATAATAATAATAAAGTATGTTATTTGATAAGATAATTGTTTAAAATTATTATCATGTAATATAAACTTAAACTTAAACCTAAACATTAATAATTAGTGTAATTTTATAAAAAAAAACTTTAAAAAATAATTAGTAATTAATATTGTGTTGAAAACCCTATAATAAAATTTAATTAATTGCTGAAATAAAAATGTGATTATTTTTTTTTGCTGAACAATTATGGTTTCCACAAAAACCTAAATACTATCATATGATTAATATCTGTTAAGAAAAAGTTTAAATTAAAAGATTTATTATTAATCTGACAATAACTACGAAAGACAACTAGTGGTTAAAGAATCAATAAATCAATGAATTGATTGTTTTTAAAAAAAAACTATTTGGTAACTATTTGGTCGATATATTCACAAAAAAAAATAGAAAAGATTATAGGAATCGATGGTTCAAATTGAATGGTGTGTCGGATGTGTTTTAGCGGCCGTCAAACCTCTCTTCCGGATTGGCGGGAATCCCGAGATCACCGGACACTAACTGTCGGGTTATGGCTTCAATCTCTACTTGAACTGTAAACAAAAGTGGTTAAGAAAGGGGCCAAAGACCCCATCGGTTATAGCTTTGAACAAATATAATATGTATAGACTATTAAAAATAATAATGAATTATTATTATTATTATTTGATATTTACTAATAATAATAAAGACCTATAATTAAAAACCAAACATTAATTTTTTTGAATTACAAAAAACCTGAAAACGAGTGTTTAATTAGATTTTACGTTAAGTTTCAATTAATATTAATATATTGAATACATTATAATATAATAATAATAAACAACTAAACACTTAATAATAAATTATATAATAATATGTTTATAAAACAGCTATGAATTAAACGTGTGATTAATTAATGGCAACTTCTTTTAAAAAACAATTATTCAAATAATTAATAATAGATTACAACAATAATACACACATTGAAAGTGTGGTCAAAATACTTACGAAGATATATCTTTTCCTGTTCTTTGGTCAGACTGGACGGTATGATCGTCGGCATCCCCGGTAGGAACACCTTCTCTCTATCGTCTCCACCCCATCGGCTCTTACGCTTCTTTCGGCGATCGCTCATCTCTGCGGTCAACCAACCAATCAAAACAAACAAACAGTTAGACAACAAAAGCAAACAAACCGAATGTCACCGATTGTCTGATGCGGTCAATCGGTGGCCAAATCGGTGATTATATATATTTTGTTTACTAAACACTTACGCGAACCATACGAGTCATTGCTGTCAATTGAGTCATCGAAACCTCTTTTATCGGAACTCATTGGTCAACTTGCGAGTGATATCTGTCTGTCAGTCAGTGACTGTCACCGCAATTGGTCTCAAACAATGAGTTTATGTGACAAAAACACTTGTCTTCTTAAGATTCAATAAATCAATTGAATGTCTGATTTTTAACTCATTTTATGTATTATTTTAGTAAACAATTAGAAAATTGTTTTCAAAACCAAAATGGCGTCAAATTATTGGAAACAAACGTTCATAAAGTGTGTAACAAAATGTTTGATAAGTTTATAATAATTGACAAAAAAATATTTGAATTGAAATAAATTAATAATTAAATTCATTTTTATTTATTTATAGGTAAATATAAATTTTTTTATTTTATTTTTATTAAACAATTTGAAAACAACTTACAGTTTTAATATATATTTATTTAAATTAAAAATTTAATATTATTTTTCTTAAATTCAAAAGTAACGATAATTTTATTTTCATCAATATTACCAAAAATATTTTAATAATATTATTATCAATAAAATTTGTTTGAATCACATAAGTGTTTTGTCTTTTAATCATTAAAACAATTAACTTTTTTTAGAGGATATTAATGATATATAAAAGTTGTTTAAATACAACAATAAATATTCAATAATAATATCAATATTAGTATATATTTGTTAACAATAAATGTATGCGAAAAGTGTGAAAATAAATATGTAAATAGCTATAAATGAAAAGCAAACTAAATCATGATTTATTTTTACAATCACTTTAAACGCTAAATAAAATTTTAATTATGATAAAAATATAATTAAAATTTTAGTTTCAAACCAAATCAAACAAAATATATAGCATTCGCGCAAACTTTTATAAATTGATATTAACTTCAATTTAAAAAAAATAACTTCAACTCAGATTAACCCGTATTCGTGAACGTCTATTGTGACCACTTTTCGACGGAATATTCGCTGAGCTTCTGGCTGTGAGCGCCTCCGGAGTTAAAATTTCAATTTCATCCGAATTTATTTTATCGGCCGGCGATGATGCAGACATATGAACCAATGAATCGGGTGTTAAAATCTCAATATCATCTGATGAAGAAGTGATGTCTATTGTTTTGGATTCGTTAGGTTTTTGTGGTGTTAATTGTCGGTGCAATTGATTATTTCTGGCCACTTGTAACGGCACAAACTGATTGCCAAATGGCGATGAATTAACCGTATTAGACGTTTGGGGAGTTTTTCTTTGATGAGAGATTTCATTTGGGCCGTCATTTTGGCCTCTTTTCATAATTTTCATTTGAGTTGGTTTAGTGTTTGTCATTGAATTCAGATTCATTGAATTCAGATTCATTGAATTATCATTTCTTGGATCAAATAGCTTCTTCGGCTGAAAGTTTCTCTCTTTATTTGCCGAATAACTAACGTTTGCTTTGGCCGATTGGCTTTGTCTTTGTCGAAGAATTCTTTCATTGTGTTCAACAAAAGACTCGGGAATATCATGAATTGTCGGTTGGCTTTGATTTTGATTCTTTCTATTCGCCGGTCGATTATCGCGTTTGTTGTTTGACTTAAACCAATTGGATGGCGGGCGTGGGAGTGAAGACTCGGCAATTCTAGGCCGAGATTGCGGCATATAATTGGGTGCAATAAACGAAGGAGTGGCCAACATTTTTTTCGGACGACTCAAATCAATATTAGCACCAAATTTATTATTAATATATTCGAGTCCTTTTCTCGAGAGATGTTCCGATGCATCTTCAGGTGTATCATAAGCACTGAGATTAGCGTTAAAACATTGCTTATCGGGTAAAGTCATTGTTAATGACTGTGTCCTCATTTGACCGAAAGTTAATATTTCAAAGATTGCTAATTGTTTGAAATATTTTTGACATTCGCTGTCAAATATATGTCTGAAACTATCGATTAATTGTATGTTATTTAAAGTATTTGTTGACATTTGTTGTTCACCATATCTTCTGTTTTTATTTTTGGTATTTGGTATACTATTATTGACTACATTATCGCGTGAATTGGCTGTAATTTCAGCAAATGAAGGCTTTGGCAGTAGTTTATCATCATTTGTTTTAATACCCGATAACTGGTTCCATAAATCCTGCATCGGAGGAAACTCTTGATTTCTTTGGCTCTCATGTTTCGGTGACTGAAACGGAGAGTTTGACGAATGATTCAAATTGACAGAAATCTCTTTTATGTGTGGATTCGGATAATTGGGTGGATTAGCAAAATTTGATCCAAATTGATGTGTGTTAGCAATCTTATTGCGAGGATTTCGGTGACCAAATGAATTGGGATATTGTGATGAATTGCCATAATTTTGATCTCTTTGCTTGTGATGTCTGTGCTGAGGTCGTGTCTGCAATGGTTGACCGGAACTGACAAAATTCTCATATTTTCCGGACATTTTAAGACCGTAAGTAATGTTAATAAGATTAGCGGGCGATAACTTATAGCCCTTTCCTTTAGTACATCTCAAAGCAACTCCACCAACAAATTCTTCGTCAAATACAATATCAAATAAAGTGTTTACTTCATTGCTATCATCAATATGTTTGCCAACAATAGTTCCCTTTGCGCCCAATGGAACTGATATACCACTTCTGATATTCACAACGCGATCAAACAGATTATATGTCGCTTTAGGATCGGGCAAAGAGTAACCCAAATAGTGAATCGGACGGAATAATTGAATCGGTTTGTATGTCTCCATAACTGGAGCTAATTCCTGGGGAAACACCTAATGAAACAATAAAATTATAGCTAAAATAATAAGATTATTATAAAAATGCATACAATGTGTGTATTAATAACATCTTCAATGGCTTCGACAACAAATTCGTCAAGAATTTCTGCATTACATTTCTGGCGTTTCTCTTGAGAAGATGGCAACGATTTCAACCAATTGGTAATTGTTTCCAATGTTTTTAATCTATAAAATAATAAAATTTTAGAATAAATCAAATAATAAAAAATTTTAATTCGTTACTTGTCTTCGCCGGGTATCAAGTCTTCAATATTGAAGAAATCTTTTTCAACACAAACGGACAACTTTTCAAAAATGAATGGAAATTTAGTCAAATATTCTTCCATTATTGAGAAGATTTTTCCCGAAAAAAGCCAATTATCATCTCTTTTAATAGAATATCCGGGAATCTCTTCGTTTTTCGAGTTAAACTTAAGATTCAGACCGATATTAATCCTTTTCTGTGAATCTCTATTATTCTTAAGAACAAAAATAGTTCCCGTAATACGTGACAATAGATGAGCATTAATGCCTAACTTTTGTGCCAAAACATAGTTCGGCATATATTTCTCATGAATTATCTCTTGAGCCCTGTCCTGGATTTCTCTTAAATCGGGTTCCAATTGAGGAAACACCTCAACAGTTACCACTCCATTCTTACAGTCGATGACCTTAGCTTTTGAACCATAAAATGGATTCGCAATGGGAAAGCATTCACATCCTCTCGGAAACATGTCTTCAATGGATCGGAATTGTTGCGAATGATTTTCATGAATAGTTATATCTTTAACAACCATTTGAATGGGACATATGATAGGTGTAGTTCCCCACTGTTTTTCAAGTGTTAGTTTGCCTTTAACTCCATGCATATATTTCCAACCAGTCATAGGGTAAACATGAACTAAGACGTCCGGTTTGCTAACAATTATACCCCATCTCTCTTTGCATTTTCTAATAACTGAATTAATGCGACCATTGTTTTCAGTAAACTCTTGATCTGTTAGATCATTACAGATAATACGATTGCCATCTTTGACAAACTTGATTTCAGAATTAGTTACTTTAAACACTTTGGCCTCCAAAAGATGTGGCCAATTGACAAACACTGTCTGATCCAATAGTTGTTGAGCCACCGATTCAATCTCATAAATGGTGTTGTTTTTGATAATAACAATCATATTGTCACCCATGGATGTCTGTTCAAAGACACGTACCCTTTCCTTTCTAATGGCAATCTCGTGTTGAATATATTTGAATGTTGGAAATCCAGGTATAAACACATTTAGTTTAACGCCGCGACACAAACCTTTGTGTATATTTTTTGCTGGCAATAAAAAGCTATTGATATCGCATTCAACATATTGTGAGTGATTTACGACAATATCAGGAAAGATAGATCGATTTGGTGATACATATGGTGGTAAAGACTGTTCACAATATGTAAATATCAGATGCGGGCCGTGTCTGTTACGTCTCGCTTCATCTGCAGTTAACTTCTTATCGACGCTTTTGGTGGCATCTAATAGAAGCTTCTCATCGATGAACGGAATCAGTACGACGGCCTCCCAAGACTGTTGTTTTTCATTTTGATCCGTTTCGAACTCTTCGGGATAAAAGTCAATGAGTGGTGAATTAGGAGACGTTACTAATGATTCGTAAGCTTTGGGCAACAATTCTTTACTGGCAGCGGGCAGTACTGCTAATAACTGTTCAAATGGTTTAAATGGTCGGCCCATATCAAAGCCGAGGTTAATGTCGTGAAATTCATTGACATCAGATATATAAGGTGCATAATGGTGGGGATAATACCAGCTCCAAGACATACATCCATTGTAATAGTAATGAAGATTCCATTGAATGGCACGAATATATTCATGTGCCTGTTCTCTGAGTACTGATTGATCCACTTGTTGGTACTTGAGTTTGTCGATATAGTAGTTATCTTTATGTGATCTGAACTCATCCTTAAACAATTCTGAATCACTGCTCTCATATATTTCATCTGATTCAATATCTACGACTTCGGATTCATTTTCAATGTCTGGATCTATCAATAGATTACTAACAGCTGCTGCTCTCGAAGTGTTTGGCTCTTCATTTCGATTAAACAGCTTTCGACCAGTTTTTGACTCAAAATATTTGAGGTCAGCCCACGTATCGTTAAAATTATCAATGTCTACATTCTTGAGTTCATTGATATACTTCTGGAATCGCTGTAAATTCAACGTTCCGTTATCATTAAGATAACCGTCTAATGTAGGCATTACTAACTTATAGGCCGCGTATAACTTCAATAGTGAGCTCTTATTTATATGAAAGTGAGGAATGTGTGGAATAAAATCATTACCGACAAGAAAACCCATGAGAACCCAATCGTCAATAATTTTCTCCAATTCATAACCAAATGGCAAACGGTTCTTGAGTTCAGAAAACTCGTGATCAAGATATTCACGAAAGAGTGACAAATGAAACAAATGAAATGTAATCGCTTCGGGATTGGAGTCTCTCTTGTTTTTATCAGTTTTGCTTCTGTTGTATTTAACTTCTTCTCTAAGAAGTGAAAAGTGTGGTTCATGTGAACAGACGCCTAACATTATAAGATCGGCGTCTAAACCGTATAGACAGTGACGGGTATTCGGGTCGTATCCCGGCTGAGATTTTTCGTATCGAATAAAATCCATAACTTTATGTTCCCCTTCACCGGGAGTTTCGTGACCACTGAGTATAACTTTAACATTACGCCAAAGATCGTCGGATGAAATCTTATTGACCACAAAATACTTCAAATGCTGATGAAGTCTATCCATAAAAGGAGTTCCCGGAGTAATGCAATTTGAATCAAAGCGTTTCTCTTCAGGCAATTTTTCGCCCCTCTCTTTGGCCTCATTCTCACGAGTCTCGGCCTCTTGAGCCGAACGGAAACGTCGACCTCTTTGTTGGTTCATCTTAGCTCTGGGAGCCACTCCGTCGATAGCCATAAAAAAGACTTTTCGCGGTTTAATCATACGAAACAAGAACTCTATGTAACGAAAGATGTCCTGAAATATCTTCTCTTCGGATATACGAAAGTGAACGTCTTCATCATTAGGATGGGAACAGTTGTGAATTATGCCATTCATATCCAAATATAAATTATCAAACTCTGGTATCTATTATTTGGACAAAACAATCAAATATTAACAAATTGCTAATCACTGACACCTCTATGTCATACCTGATATTCACGAACTACTTCGCTAAGACACGGATACCGTTCACTAATCCAACGGTAAAACTTCGGGACACCCATTGTTTCTGTTTATGTCTGTCTTCGTCTGTGTGTCTTGAGATCAATTCAAGTGATCACTTTAGTCAATACATATGATTATTAAAAAAATAATTAGATTATAATAAATACATTTAAAATAACAAATCAAACGTAAAGTTAATGCAATTATAATCAACAGTCAAATCACATGCGATTACAGACAAAAACAGTCAAAACACTAAACAGTGTTAATGTGTGGACAATAACGTTGTATTCAGACTATCATTGGATATGATTGGACAACACTTTGCTGTTTGAGATTCAATTACTTTATATTAATATAGAGAGAGTACTGTATGTATTGTACAGTAATGTAATGTAAATGTATTGAGGATTGCATTCAACTCAACAAACCTATAGATAGTGAGAGAGAGAGAGAGAGACAACACATTTGAGTGAATAATATCAGCAAAAAAAGTGATTTTTAAAAACACACAAAATGTTTGAATCAATTTTGAATGCAATCCCACATCATATGGTCTGTAATTGAATTGTTTTTAAAACAATTAATTGATTTGATTATTGTTTTTATTAACGACAAACAGGACTTTGATGGCCAACGTCGGGCCGAAAGATGGTTTCAACTCATTATTCTAGTGTTTGCCGTAAGTGTTGTCACTATTAATATAAATCGTGACGTGTATTACAATCGCTGTATTTGTTTATTAATTATTATTATTATTATTATTATTAGGTGTCGGGTCTGGTCTGGGGTTATGCCGTCCAGCAGTTCTCATACACTGTCTATACATTGGGCGCCGGTTTTGTGTTGGCCGCACTCGTATGTCATACCAGTCACACATTTGTTTGTTTTTTTAATAATATGATTAAAAATGTTTGTTTTCAGCTAACCCTACCTCCGTGGCCACTATACCGACGCAAACCATTGCAGTGGCAAAAGGTTAAGTCTGAGACCAGTTATAAACCCAAGAAGAAGTCCAAATAAAGACAGAGAGCCACTAATGATTTGTTTTTAAGTATTTAAATATTTATATAATTATTTAAAAAATAACAAAAAATTAAAACTTTTTTTTAAACAACATTTAATAACAATTTATATTTAATGTTATTTTATATGTATTTCATTTGTTTTTCTCATATTTCACTGAAAATGCAAAATACAATTTTAATTTAATTCAAAATTTTTTGATATTTATTTCGAAATAATTCTCTTTTGTGTTGTATTAGAGGTTTTGAATCTTAATATACTTTTTTGTTTAATAATAATAAAACAATTATTTTTTAGTTGATTTTTAAAAACCCGTTGATGTGTCACGTCTTAAGTGTCAATAGAAATATCTTAATTATTATTATTATTATTATTTAATAATTTGTTTTTTATATATATTTAAATAACGTTTTACTTTATATAATATACTGTATACTGTGCTAAAGCTGTAAATAAGTGAATTATTTACTATAAATATATCTCCAAATACTGTACAATTCAGTTCAATCAACACTTTTTTTTGACATTTGTTTTTTAACGTTTGATAATATTAATAATAATAATAATAATATTAATGATTACTCTTTTTTTAAAAAAAACTCATCAGTCAGTCATCCAGTTGTTCAATCTCTCCAGTTATACGATCGGGATCTGCCTGTACTGTAAAGCCTAATATAGAGTTATCGATCACTCGTTTTCCTTTTTTCTTCTTTTTGGAGGCCAATTGAAAGCCATTATTATCGCTGTCGGAAACGTTTACCACCGAATTCGCTGCCGAAGGTTGGCTCGCTTTGTTAACGGACGGAGTTATGGCCGGCGCCGGTCCCCACATGAGTTCCTTTTGAGAAAAAAACATTTTGTTTAGTGTTTCTTCTAAAAAATAATTGATGTATTGATGATAATGACATACCTCTGTGGCCTCTTTTTTCGCTCGATTTCGAAAGTAAGATCGCCTTTCAATAAACTGTTTGGCGAAGTCTTTGACATCTTTACTCTCTCCAAGATATGAACGAACGTAATCATTGATTTCAAATGGAGATTCAACGTCTTTTAAAAATGCTATAAATGTTGGAACTGTTGACAAATAATAATAATAATCATTACATACAATTCCGGTATAATAAAATGATAACATACTGTCAACACTTGACTGATACTTGGAAAGGGCATCAATACACCATTGCGTAAATTCATCGGGTTTTTGTCGCCTCTGATTTTCGAAGAGTCTTAAAACTGATTCCTAATAAAAGATAAATAAATGTAAAACAATTTCTTATTTTAAAAGTATGAATTATTTTTAAAATTAAATACTTCTTCTTTTTTATCGCGAGAATTAGCTTTACTATTGGTATTGCCCTTTGAATTGGTTTGCATTGAAGGTAAGGCACTATCATTGGCTCTGTTAGTCGAAACACTTCGAGATTCTGGTTCCCAAAATCCCATACCAGTTGAAGAACTGTTGTTGTTATTAGCTTTGGTGGTCGTCTGAGACGGAATTTGTCCAAAGAGCTGATTGTTGGCATTATTCCAAATGCCAGAGTTTGGCACACTATTAGTCACATGTGTCTGTTGTTTCCTACTATCGTGAGCTCTTTGTTTGGCCGCTTTCTCCGACTCTTCTCTCTGTATTTCGGTCAATGTCTTTACCGGACCGCTCTGTTGATGATATGCTGGTGTGGCCCACGTTAATGACTTATTCTGCTGTTGCTGTTGTGCAGCAAACAACGCCTGCATGTGCTTCTGCTGTAACTGTCTCTGCCTTTCTTCGCGATCTTTTTCCTCTTGAATTCGCTGAATGTCATCCAATGACAATTGTTTTTGACTTACATCTGATGATGTTTGTCCCCAACCTTTACGTTTATCATGTTGTTGTTGTTGTTGTTGTTTCTGTTGTTGTAACTTAAGGAAAGCTTCTTGTTGTTGCTGCTGTTGTTGTTGTTGTTGCTGTTGTTGTAATTGTCTGAGTCGTTCCATATCCTTAACTCTTTCCCTCTCCCTTTCCCTTTCGAGATCAAATAATTGCTGTTTTTGTCTCTCTTTTTCCAATTCTATTTGTCTCCGCTTGTCTTCCTCCTGAAGTGCCTGTCTTCTGGCAAACTCTTCCAAACGCATTAGCTCTTCTTGTCGTCGTTTTTGTTCCTCAGCTGCTCTACGTTTTTCTTCTTCCATACGAAGCCTTTCCTCCTCTTCTCGTCGTCTCTTTTCTTCTTCTTGTTTACGAATAAGCTCTTGATTTCTAAGTTTCTCTTCTTCTAACTTTTTCTGCAATTCCTGGTATTTACGTTCTCTTTCTTCTATAAGTCTTTGATGTTCTTCCTGTTCCAATTTCTTTCTTGTCTGTTCCTCTTCGTAAGACTTTCGCCTCTCTTCGAGTTCTTTCAATTCTTGTTCTTTACGCTGCATTTCCTCAATAGCTGATACAGACATTGCTCCGGAATTCATATCCCAAATGCTTTGAACGTGAGAAGAATGTCCACTATTATTGTTCTGCATTTGATGCGATCGTGCATTTTGTAACCGCAAACCAGTCAACGCGTCCAATGGAGTTATATCTTCATTAACAGGTCTAGTGTTAGGAATGGCTGACTGTAGAGACTGTTGCCTTTGTTGTTCTAAATGAACGTAACGTTGAACGAGAACTTCTTGTTGTTGTTGTTGTGACAGATCAGAAAAGCCCTCCTGTTTCTTAAGTTGAGCTAACAGTTCTCTTAATTGTGACTGCATGTCAACATTCTGTTGATTTGACAAAATATTTTGTTGTGATTGTTGTTGTAAGGGATGTATTGGATGAGGTGGTGCTTGTGATGAATGGGATGATATTTGTTGTTGAATTAAATTTTGATTGGCTGTCGCAGCCATGGGTTGTTGTGATGGTGGTGTCGGTTGTGATGTGGGTTTATGTGACAGTGATGATTGGCGACGGAGGGGAGGCGGATGAGACCCTTGAACAACAATAAATGGTATACAACCCCAGAGTTTTAATAGTTCGCCCAATTGTGTGAAATATTCGTCGCAACCCCTCCTGACTAGAAGATCCATTGCAAAGTAACCGGCGGTAAACCAATCGTACATTTCGTGTGGAGTGAATGGACCCTGAATATCGTTTTGCGGATCGCGATAAAGCCATTTGAAAGCGTCCTCGTGTTGAACGGGAAGTACAGCCATATCGTGACGAATATGTGATGGCTGTCCTATAGCTTGAGCCGGCGGTTCATCCGCCGACTTATCCTTTGGTTCGTCATCAGCAGTCCATTGGGCGACCATATTCTCCGCCTCTTTCTCTAAGTGTGCAAACTGTGCGAAGCCGTCCTCTTCAGAACTACTCTTGATATTATGAGAATTAGAAGTGATTGTATCGTTTGATTTTAATAACTTATTATTATTATTATTATTATTATTGGAAGGCGTATGAGTTGATAACTGTGTCGATGATTGAGACGACGACGACTTCTGTACTGATTGTTTCAATTGGGTTTGTGTCACATTTGATGACTCTTTGTTTATATTTTTGTCGTCCATTTTCGACGATTTCTCTATTATTGTTTCTTTTGGTTTAGCATTTTCAGATAGTTTTGAATTTTGATTAGTTTTGTTAAGACTGTCTTCATTTTTATTAAATTCTTTAGAATCTTCATCGTCGGCAAAATCGTTATTAAATTTGGTCTCATCGTCATCATTGGTATCCTCTCTAAAAGCTCCAGAAGAGTCAAATGTTCCCACTTTATCTTGTTCTCCGTCATCAATACTCCATTCGGGCAAACTTCCTCTGCGGTCATTTTCTTCAATATCATCCCATAAATCATTTGGATCTTTATCTTTATAGTTATACTTTCTGTGCGGTCCGTTCCTATCCGAGTAGTCTTTGTCGTATTCATAATCTTTGCTTTGTCTCCAACTGTTTGTACGATTCCATCCTTCCGCTGGCCCTCTGGCTGTTCTCCAGCCTTCTCTATCTTCACCTCTTCCAGCAGTCCTCCAGTTCTCAACCGAAGACGATCGTGAATTGTTTTTTCGTAAGCTATCGTCAACAGCAGCCGCACCGCCTCCACGACTAAAACTTCGTTCATATTTTTTATCTCTTTGATTCTCTTCAGTTAAACTGTTAGTTCTATCAAAAGATCTGTTAGTTCTAAAATCTCTTCGTTCCGGTGGACTGTCTCCCTCTTCAAAATTGTTTCGTTGATAATACACGCGACCCCTTCCTCGTCCTCTATCTGAAAGACTACCACCTCTGCCGGCTCTTATAGATATACCTCCTCTTTCATTGACACCACTTCTTTCCCCTCTATCGGCTGTATTACTTGCTTTTCCTATAAGTCTAAGTACAACATCACTATTGACACGATTCCAGAGACGTGATTCATCTTCAGTCATATTGGTCAGCGCTAAAGGCATTTGCATTTTATCCATAAAAAGATGTGGAAATTCTTTAAGATTTTCCGGTGGTTTTATATTATGATGAAATAATGCCAACATTTCTTCGCGTCCGTACCGATAATCAGCCAATTTATGTTTAGGCGGTGCACTACCCGATGATGATGTCGGCGGCATTCCTCCGGTCGTCGAGGCATTGCGTCCGCCGTCTGAAAGCGCTTTCAGCCTTTAATGGTTACATTCAAATGAGTTCATTAACACACTATTCATGTGATACTTATATACACAATATATTTAAATAATAAATCATAAAATAAATGACATAAAAGCATATTAACAACAAAACAATAAAAAATAAATATTAAAAAACATGTGTTAACTATTGTTTGTGACTACAAATCATAGGTTATTATGTGAAAGACATTTAAATTGAAAGCATTTTAAAAAAATTAATAAATCAATCAATTTGTTACCACTCGGGGCCAAACTTCATATCAGTTGCCATCATTTGTATGGATTCAATGGTCACTAATACCAAATAGACTTCTTCAGTCGTGTCTTAATTGAACAATAAATATAGTCGACCTCTTTGTCCGGCAATTAATTAATTTAACTTCTTTTATCACCAATTGATTGATTCATCAAATTTGGTAATTGATATGAAAACATGAAAAATCATCAAAAAAAACAAACAAACATATTATTACATGAATTGGTGTCCAACAGATGATATCAAATTAAAACAATTAATTAATTATTAAATCAATTGATAAATACCTTATTCAACAACAAATATATAATAATTATTTAAAAAAATATCATATAATATATGATAATAACAATAATTGATTTGTCGATATATTTATTTAATGGCAAGTATTGAGTAAATTGTTATTATTATTATTTTTTTGGACACTTCAAGTGTTTGAATAAAATATATTTTATAATAATAATAGTAATAATAATTAGTAATTAAATGACAATTCAAGTAATAGTTTTAGTTTAATAGACACTAATTGTTTAACCAATCAATTGATTGCAATTGTATTTAACATTTAGAAACACATTCGACAACAAATGTACTGTAATTTTCTTCAATAGATTTTTCTCTAAAAAAACACATATTATTATAACAATAACAACACTACAGTACAACACTATATACTCTTATAATAATTTTGTTTGACTCCACACACAAATGTATTCAACATTGAATGTAATGTATATAATGTATAGAGAGATAGAAAAAAATCTAATATACAGTACATATAATTTAAGTGAAAAATATTGCCATTGAATTCAATGTATTTTAACAAACAGTGTATATAACAGCTGCAAAACAACACAAAACAGCTCCAAATAGTACTGTATATACAGTAAAGTAATAATAATAATAATAATAATAATATGGTCTCCATATTGTACATACACTCCAATTGAAAAACAGTAATTACATAAACACCTAAACACTAGCCCCCCATGTGTTGACCTATTTGTTTGCATACACTTAGAAAGTACAACATTATTGTTGGATAAAAACTAATTTATATTTATATAATATATCAATCAATACTGTTTGCAAATTTTTTAGTGTCTTTTTTATACATACATTACGACAATTTTTTACCGTATAAATTAATATACAGTATTATTAAGTGTTTAATATTTTATTAATTTAATTAATTATTAATATTTTATTGATTTTTTTATATAAGTCATTATTATATGTACATATTATATGTATATTAAATAATGAATAACAATAACAATTAAATCGATTGACTAAAAAAAATTAAATACTGTTTGAAACATTTTTTAGGTACTTTTGATTGTACGACAATTTAGGACAATTGATGGCCATAATAGATGTTTTATTATTATTATCATTATTATTGTTATAAAATTTATCCATTGATTTGATTTGACTTTCTAATTGATCCACTTTAATGTCCAACAAATTCTTTTCGTGTTTCACTTTATCCAACTCTTTGGTCATTTGGTCTAATTTGTTGGCCAAAGCGCGAGACTCTTCGCGACATTTATTTTTCTCGTCTCTAACTTTTCGCCACTTTTCTGAATATAAAGAAAAGGTTTAATAATTTTTTAATTATCCAATAAAATTGTATCACTAAATACCTCTCCAATTAACCAAACAATCGCTCCAAAACTTCATTGTCTGTGTTTTTTAATAAAATATAATTTTAATTAATCTATTGATAAAATCAACGATAATTTCAAACCTTTTCCATCTGTAAAACCCGAGCTCTAGTCTCTTCCAGTTCTTTATTCCTCAAGTCGTGTCCATGTCTTGTGTGATACAGTGGTTCCGCATAATTCATGTCATAACTGGTCGTTCGTCCGATACGTCCATCGGCTGTATTTGTCTTTATCTCTTTTGTCGACAATTGTGATAATCGTTTGTATGCATTGTTTGCCATCTTTTTGTAATCACTTTAGATATCACTTAAAACTCAATCTATTTTATGACTTGTAATATGTAATCAAATTATTGGCTAATTTTACAAAATGATAATTATTATTGTAATAATATTGTATAAATAATTATAAATAGTAAATGATATGATTTTTAAATTGTTTTTTATATTTAAATTATAGTTAATTTTATTTTTGTTAATCAATTAATACTATAAATAATACTGTAATTTGAGATCAAATAAATTTGACATTTATTAGACAATCGGTGATCAAATTGATTTGTTTTTGGCCATCAATTAGTGAACAAGACATCAAATATGGCACACAATGACAATGATATTAATTGATTGTTACAATTATTATAATCACATCTTTTGCAGTGATTGTTGTAACAAAATGTAAGCAAAAGCTTAACCACGAGTTTAATGTTGTTTTTGAGGCTTTAATGCAATAATTGAAACAATCAATTGAATCAATGATTGAATGCTTATGTTATTTGTGAATGAATTTGTTATTATTTTATTAATATTATTATTATTAATATATTATGAAATCAATATAAAGTGTTACCATTTAAATGCTATTTTCACGGTTTATTAATACCTATTAGTGTTATATATGATAGTAGTTTACATTCAAAATATATTGAAATTATTAATAACATTGAAAGTAACCAAACATTTACTTTAATAATAACAGTGTATATTAAAAGTCATTTCCTAAATGTGTATACAAAACAAATTTAATGTTAAAGAGGAGTCCTATTAATAGTAAATAAAAAAAAACTTAATATTATTTTTACTGTAGTTTTACAACACTTTCTCTCACAATAATAATACACTCGTAATGTAAACACAGAGAGTCACTGATATATTATATGTTATGTTATGTTATATAATGTTTATCGACACAAATGTATATAAAAATTAATTTTGTTTTTAAACAAAACAATTAGTGATTTATAGACAGAGAGAGAAACGCGAGACTCAAATGTCATATAATTATTAAATACATTAATTGTTTTTATGGTTTGTTTTACATAACTTTATGTATAGTATTATAATAATATGATATATAATATAATAAACACTTTTGACATAATAATGCTTTTTTGACATAACATTGTGTTTTATGTTATAATTTGTTAGACTTTTTATATTACGGTTATTATTGAATTGAATTATCAAACAAATTGATTATTAAATTTATGAAATTAATTGTTTGATATAACGTTATAATAGATTTGTTATATTATTATTAGTTATAAAAAAACTGATTTCAAGATTTGTAAATCAAAACGACATATGATATGAATATGTGATAAATTGTCTCTAAAATTGACCTCATTTTTTGAATACCATAAACGTCTTCAAGTGAGACGACAACTACGTTATGGACTTATTGTCGACAATTGATTGTTGTATAGACAGCTGATAACAAATTCGGTGATCAATGTCTTCGATCAGTGGTAATGGTGTCGATGACGACGATTCGCTGTTCGAGTTGTTAAAAGAGGTCCAATTGGAACAGTTCTATGATCTGATTCGTAAGACACTCAATGTTACACTCGTTGACCACTTCGACAAAGTCATTGTCACTGATTTAACTGATTCGGCTGTCGGTATGGGCGCACCCGCAGCCAGAAGACTAGTAGCCGCAGCTAAGACTAAGATTAGAGACAAGAAGCGAAAGACAATTTTCAATATGATTTTACCAAATAAGACATCGACAGGACATCAATCAACACATTCCAAGAAATCTTCGAATTCGGTTTCCAACAGAAGAAACTCATTGACACCTACTTCGGCATCCAATGGTCTGACGTGTCTTATCAACACTAAAGACATCAAAACACTTAACAAATTAGGCGACGGATCCTTTGGTGTAAGTCTTTAGTATATTGTATGCAATGTATTGACAATTATTATTATTATTCAGTATTTATAAATTATAATTGCAATTAAAATTACCCAAAAAATAATCTTAAAATTTAATGAACCTATAAATTGTTAATTTATTTTAACAATCTGTGATATATATAGTAATATATGATATTTATTACAATTGTTAGTATAATTTATTATATATTAAATATTCATATTATTAATACGGGTAGTGATATAACATATTTTTGTATTGTACTAATAATATTTTTTTATTGATAGATGAAAATTCAAACATTTAAATCTAATCATTATTGAAAAAATAACATTATAATCAATATTAGAAAATTATTGATTGATATATAATTAATTTATATATATATATATTTTATAAATAGGCATATTTTTGTAGGAAAAATTCACTTTTTATTTTATTAAATATAATTAATACATTTTATATAACAGATACAGTATTTTTATCATTTTACTACTCTATCCCATCACTGATTAAGTTGTTATTTAAGATTATTCTTTAAAGTTTATAAATAATAGGTATTAAATTTTATCATCTATTGTATTGTATAATATATTATAAAATTAATAGTTAATACTTATATTTGTACAGTATATTTAATTTATATTGTATAATTATAATTAAGTTAACAAATATTATTTTTAAAATTACGATATATAAAGATTTCTGATATTATTTTTTAAATTAACATTTTTAATGATAATAATTAATATTATTAACTGCTTATATTGCTTAAAATTATTTTTTAAACGTATTATTTTATTATTATTTAGTAAAGTTTCAGTAATTACATAAATATTAACATTAATAAAAAAATGTAATATTCCAAAATTATTACCTGTATAAATTTATACTAATTTATACTGTATATAATAAAATTATAATAGATTATGCTTACAAAGCTGTTTTATTGATATTATAAAAATGTCAATAAAAATAATTGTTATTGTTTAATGTTGATATTAAATTTATATCAAAATGAATAATAGGATTATAAAATAGATAGGTTATTGACAATTATTGTCATTATATGATTGTATAGTTGTATGTAATTAAAATAACATAGTAACAAGGTTGATTTAATTAAACATTTCCACATAGAATTACTGTAGACGTAATAAATACATGGTTTCTATGAATAAAAATAATATTTACTAAAAATTTTATATATTATTTCCTAAAAGGTTGTGATGAAAGGTGAATGGACTCTACCTAATGGTCGTACAAAAGAAGTGGCGGTAAAAGTATTAAAACAAGAGGTTATGTCAGAGCCGACAGCTTTCGAGGACTTTGAGAAAGAGGTCAATGCTATGCATCAATTGAATCACCAGAATCTGATTCGTCTCTATGGAGTAGTATTATCGTCACCTATGATGATGGTCACCGAATTGGCCGCATTGGGAGCTCTTAGGGATCGATTGCGCAAAGAATGTGGACACACATCCATATCAACATTAATTGAATACGCGATTCAAATATCTCAAGGAATGGCATATTTAGAGTCTAAACGTTTCATACATAGAGACTTAGCTGCGCGTAATGTTTTATTAGCTAACAATGAAAAAGTTAAAATCGGCGACTTTGGACTCATGAGAGCTATTCCCTCTCATGAAGATTGTTATATAATGAATGAGCACAAGAAAGTACCCTTTCCTTGGTGTGCACCCGAGTCACTCAAGTCAAGACAGTTCTCACACGCCAGCGATACCTGGTTTGTACTGATTAACAAATTTATTTATTTTTAAAATATTAGTTTATAAATAAATTTTTAAACTTATAGGATGTTTGGTGTAACACTTTGGGAGATGTTTACCTTTGGTCACGAGCCATGGATTGGACTCAATGGCGCACAAATACTCCATAAGATTGACAAAGAGGGTGAACGACTGCCTCAACCAAATGCCTGTCCGTTTGAAATTTATCAGCTTTTGCTGATTTGTTGGGACACTAAACCAGAAAATAGGCCAACATTTGAGGCATTGAAGACCTTCTTTTGTGAAGCCCGTCCCGTCAAATTGAAAGCCATTCAAAAATTTGATGGAAAACCTGATAGTCATCCGAAATTGGCTGTTGAACCGAAAATTATCGTTAAAGATATCTATTTGAATGTCGAAGTCAGCGATGAGATTCAAGTGATTGAAGGAAAACCAGAAAATTATTGGTGGAAAGGACAGAATCAAAGAACTTATGCCATCGGATACTTTCCCCGATGTGTTTCGGGAAGCAATTCAATTAAATCTAGTGATATTAGTCGACCTCTAAGAAATAGTTTCATACACGCCGGTCATGGAAGTCATGCCGAATCGTGGGGTAATCCCGCTTATATTGATTCTATGTATTTGAATAATCCTATGGAACCTCCAGATGTTCTCGGCATTGAAATGGATTTACCATCAGCTCCCAAATTAGCCAATAGGAATAAAAGTAAATTTTAATTTTAAATTAAAAGTCATTTATTTTAAATTTTTTACAAACCATTACAGGAACTTTACATTTATCAGACTTTAAACAAATTGAATCTAAAAAGATAAGTCAATTTGGATATAATAAACTTCAAAATGAAAAGGTGTTAATATATAAAACAAATGTTTCAAATCTTCCGCGACGGTCGCGATCTTATTCGGAACTTAAGACTGTCGCCGATAATTGGGATGAAGTGAAACAAAGTGACGGAATTTTAATTGATTTGAGCGATGAAGTGACTGTCAGTTCTTCGACAGCACAACAAGTTATGACTGAATCCCATAGAAATTTACGATCACTTAATCACATTGAGACTAATAATAGTCAACCATCCAGTGGTCAAATTGATGACTCGACATATTGTAATATTCCGGTCGACTCTCAAACTAATAATAACCAATCGTTTAAGTATTATTCACCACCACTTGAATCAACAGATGTGCTCACAAACGGCGGCTTTAGTTTTGATAACAAAGAGGATCGATACTACTCTGCCGTTGCATCGAATTTTAATGAAGAATCTCAGATTCAATGGTCATCATCGACTTCAACGACTAATTCATTTGTTCCAAATTTTCAAAACAATATCACACCAAATGAACAATCAATTGATTTGTTAGAAAAGAAATTGAAAGAAATTCGTCTAAACTATTCTACAGACAATTTGACATTAAATACAAACAATAAAACTACTGAAAACAATAATATTATTCAAACTCTGAGCCCACAAATTGAATCAAATTTAAAAAACAATGAAATGACGACAAAGTTAAGCAAAGAATTCATTGCCGAACTCGAGTCAAAATTATTGAATCCCAGTAGTAGTGGTGATACCATTAAAAACAGCGACTCTTTGACAAAAGCCAAAGTCAATATAAGCCAAATACCAATCATAGAGCCGCCGCCAAAGTACGCCACAACTAGAAGAACAAACAGCACATCCACACCAACCCATTGCACTGCTGTCAGTCCCAATAACATTGTCTCCGTCAACAACAACAACAACAATAATAACACTACTTTTGCAACAGTATGTCTACCAAACAAGCCATCGGCGCCTACGACTCCATTTGCAAACAATTCAAATACAGCACACGTTAAGCCGTTTTTGGTGACTCCATCAGCTCCGACTCGTGAGTCAATTTATGGACTCGGAGTATGTCATAATTCAATTCCCGGCTCATCACTGCCTGCAATGGATTTTCCGCAATCATTGGTTACAAGACTACAGAATCGAGTGAAGTCGGCGACAAAAGACGAGTGCATTACATCTCTCTATAAGAACAATATGGACGCCGTGGCAGCGCTTAAAGAACTTCAGTTAAATCAATTGATGAAATTAGGTATTTCGAGTCGTGGCGACTGCGAGAAGGCATTAATGATCGCCAACTACGACATGGAAGCGGCCGCCAGTCAGCTGTTGGATATGTTGGCGGTTAAGTGAACAGACCTATTGATCCTCTTTGTCGGCAATTCTTCTACTTTTTTCTTAAACATTGTTTGCTTAAAGATGTCACACAAAAAAACATAAATTTTTTGAAATTATTACTCAGTTATTGTTTTATAATTTTTATTTTTTTAATAATTTATATTTAAGTCATTATTAGTTATAATTGGTTTGTTTAAAGATTGGAGAGCTCTTAATTAATACAATATTTGTTATTAAAAAAACAAATTTATTATACATTTAGCATTAAAACTTAGTATTTATAATTTTTCATTTAAAATCATCCAAAAACTAAATGTAAATTATGTTTATATTATTTATTTGTATTCAATATTTAAAAAACAAAACAAATTAATTTATAAATTATATATAAGATGTTTATCAGCCAAAGATCTGCTTTATATTATATATAAATTATATTATTATTATTTTTGATTTCACTTAATTTTTTATAATTTATTGACGCAATATATATATATATTAATAGTATTTAATAAATGTTTGAAAATATTGTGAAAATTGTTATTAAAAAAAATATAATGAATTAAATAATTATAAAACAAGAATTGTTTGAAACAATTGCCATAAATATCCCAAATGTGTCGCTAATGTTGTGTTGACTTTGAATGCAATGATCAATGAAAACGGCATTGTCTTCAAAATAAATAATAAATAAAAACGTTTATATTATCACTCAATTGAGTCCCAAATTTTAATGAATTAGTCTCATAATCATCATCTGAACGATGGATTCAATTGGGTGGTCATCTATAGATGTGTTGCTGATGACCATCACTGCCATCATTGCCATCTCATTCATATCAATCATCTATTTATTTATAAAATTCAGGTAATAATTATTGTTATATTTTTGCCGCTAAAATGATTGAAACATTTATTGACTTAAATATCTTTTTTTTTTTTTTGTTAAATCAATTGCCAGAAGACGAAGACCTGAGTTGTGTCCAGTGAAGTGTCATTATTGTCACGAATCGCAAGAAGTTTTATTTAGTGAAACAAATTCATTTGACTGTCGCTATTGCCGTCAATACAATGGATTCAAACCGGTATTAATTAATTTGTCGATAAATTATTGTAATTTTTTCAAACAGATATCAATTTCTTAATAATAATATTATTTATTTAAAGGACGGCAGTTATAATAAACTAATACCCGATCACTATATGGCCACTGAAAATCCGCCGCAGTTTTGTCGTCCGATTCTCAATTGCTATTCAAATAGCGGTCAATTGTGTCACTCTTGTAATATCAATCAAGAGATTAAAATCAAATTATTGACTGAATTTATGCCATTTAATGAAAATAAATTCACTGAAGAATATGAAGAATATAAGAGACATCTGGAGAATGGATACCGTTTGTGCAGTCAATGCGAGTCAACCCTCAAGAATATTCTGTCAAAACCGATTAATTGCATTAAAACAGTGGTCAACCATATAGTCCAACAAAATCTGAAGCCTGATTTGGATTTAGTGTTTGCCAAACAAAGTAATAAACACATGAAGACCCTTAAGACATCACTTATAGTCATTCAAGTGGTTCTCGAAGTCATTAGTATTACTTGTTCACTGATTATGAATGTGTTTGCCATCAATGACTTCAACGACAATAGCGATTTGTCAATCGTTGAATTTCCGGCACAAGTGAATCAATTTTTATACTTAAATTTGTCAAATCAAAGTCTAGTGATTTTTTGTGGACTTATTTCATCGCTAACTTCATTAGCTATTTGTGATAAACAACTTATACCGACAGCTCTGTGGTTAGCATTTGTCTCAATTGATACACAATTTATAAGCAATTATTTTGATAAAATTTCGACAATACTTTTGCGGACCATTTTATCCGCTTTTTTGATTACAGTCTTTACTATTACTATAGTTTCGCGTTTGATTTGTTTTTGTTATATGTTTTATGTAAAATACAAACAAAATTTTATTAAACAAACAGAAATTGTTAAGTCATTTGGAAATACCGTAAACAGTAAACCAAAAGTTTTAACTAACAGTAAAGTAGTCAATCGTAGCCAAGAAATCGATAATAAGAAACCAATGCTAAGAAGTGCTGAACAATCGATTGGAGAGCAAATAAAGTCACTCTCTATTATCGATGAAAGAAATAATAGTTTAAATTCAAATCCAAAGTCAAAACAGAATTATTGGATCAGCGGAACAAATACAGCCAATACTTATGGCTCAGACTTACATCAGATGTCTAGAAATTCTTCATTAACACCGAAGAATATTATACTTCCGGCAAAATTCCATTACGAATCGATCGCTCAAACCTCTTGGGTTTCACCATTTAAGCCAAACCAAAGTCCACGTAAAGAGTTTTCATCAAACTATTCTTATATGGGGTCAGACAGTCAGCACTTAATCAATTGGATGACTAACGATATATCAGGTTTGGTGACTCCGCCACCATCTATCAGCCCTTCGATTTGCAGTAAGTATTACAGTATTATTAGTACTAAAATTATTTTATTAGTTACCGTAATCACTGTAACTAATATTTTTTATTTTATTAATTTTTTATTTGACATGAAATTAGGTGAATCTGCTTTTGTCAATCGATTTTCCACTAATGTTGGCAACAGTTATCAATTGAATGCTTTTGACTTCAAAAACAATGGGTTTTCCAACAATTTTAATGAATCTATTGTCAGAAATCGTATAACTAGTAAACATATTGTTAGACCACTTACTATTGATGGAAGTTCTAGAAGTAGTAGAGAAGACTCGTATAGTAATGTCAGTCAAATGAACGATTCGTTGTCTTCGCTGTCCATTAATAGGAGACAACATTTAAAACCAGTTGAAACTGTTGTCAATAATGAGACGACATTGCAAAGAGTTGTACACAGTTTGACACAAAGTTTAATAATAGCTTTGTTTGTTTTAATACTATTTTGTTTTGTAATCTTTTTATCACTGCCAGTGACATTCAGGACTCAATTTGATTTTAATTCAATGAATTTTCAATTAAGTGTCGAAAATGTGCCTCAATATGATGTTTGTATAAAATAACAACAGTTTTTATTTGTAAGCAATTGTTTAAAAATATATTTTAATTCTTAATGATTTTTGATAAATATTTATTGCTTAATATACAGCTTATATATTATTTATGGAAATAATAATTATAATAATAATTAGATTTTTTGTTCATCATCTCCGACACAAAACTGTAGCGGCATTTGCTTTATGCCGGTCTCACAGTTTTCGCGAAGCATTTTGCAGTGATTTAAATATATTTTGCCATCGGATCTGTTTTTATTAATGGATTGATTATTTGATATAATTATTTTAATTTATTTATTTATATATCAATAAATTAGTTTATTATAATTACCCGCACACGGGATCATAGATTGCTAAACATTGGTCTAAAATAAATTAGTAAAAGAGATCATTAATTGAATTGTTTTTTTTAATTATTCATTAATTATATGATTGTTTTTATAAGTTATTTGTAATTATTGTTTTATTTACAGAGAGTCTTAAACAGCGACGACAGCGGCGATGCTTTTAATTTCAATTATCTGGTCAACAATAGGTTGGATTTATAAGTGACCAAGGGTAAAGTTGTAGATAATTTTAAACTAAATAAGATTGTAATTGGTCATTTTTCAATTAATTGCATGATTGGGCAGATAATTGCAGTCGACTATCATTTTTACAATTTTTTAACAGTCGACTATTATATGGCCAATCATACAATTAATTGAAAAATGACCAATTACAATCTTATTTAGTTTAAAATTATCAATAACTTTACCCTTGGTCACTTTTAAATCCAACCTCTTGTTGACCAGATAATTGAAATTAATATCATCGCCACTGTCGTCGCTATTTAAGACTCTCTCTATTATTTATATATTGATACTTATATTGTATAATAAATTTACATACCCGGACAACTGTAATAGAAAACCAAAAAAACTTTAATTAATAAATGATTTATTCAAATATAGTTTATATAATAATTTGTTATTTATTATAGTATTAAATTACAATCAATAAAAGCAATTGATAATACCTTCCTGTTTTGACGCATTCATTCATTGCCACAATTTTAACATCAGTACTATATATATAAAATAAAATAATATATATATATATATCGGTATATTAATATGTAATAGAAATTACGGTAATAGAAATTACGGTAATAGAAATTACGGTAATAGAAATTACGGTAATGAAAATAACATTTAAGAAATATATTTAATAATAACAAACGAAAAAAATTATTTTTAAAAAAACATATAATTCAAACCCGCAATTACGTTGTCTTAATTGGCATTCATTCAGATATATTTGGCCATCACTTCCACAGACGGGTTTCGGGAACTCGAGACACGTTTTGGGACAACTTTCATATTTTCTTCCCTCTGATTATAAAAATATCATTAAATATGATACCAAAACTTTTAATAATATAATATAATATGAAAATAATATTTTTGTTGATATTTTTTTATTTCTATTTACAGTATAAGCAAAGATTTATAGTGATATTCTCTAAAAAATTTTTTTCTTGAAATGATATGTTATATAAATTTATACAGTATTACTAAATAATACTTTATATTATAGACTCTATATTAAAAAAAAACATATAATTTATAGTTGAAAATATACAGTACCAGTACATTGGGTTTTTATTACTAACTTTTAAATCTAATAAATCACCATAAATTATTAGCAAACATTTATAAAGCAATAATATAAATATACGGTATATACAGTATAAATACATTAAATAGCATTACGTTTGGATCGCTAATCAAACACTACTTGAATATTATGAAAATAAGACTTTCCTTACGTCTATTCCTCCCGAAGCAGAATAGTGGCGATCGTTCAGCAATTTTCTTGCTTTTTATTTGATTAAATTAATATCAGAAATAAAATTAGATTAAATGTTATTTAATATTAAAATACAATACAATCATATTTTTTTAGTTCATACCCGCAGTTTCTCTTATGAAGTACACATTTATTTGGATAAAATTTTCCGTCTTCTTTAAATATATAGATATAAATAAGTTGTATATTAGTTTAACATATAAAACAATTGAAGTAATGATTCAATTATATACAGATATAGAAAAGATAGTACATATATATATAAAAAATGTCAAAAATGTTTGGCTAATTAAATACCGGCACAAACGGGATCCTGAATGTCGAGACAATCGGATGGACATAAGGGATGTCTTCCTCTACAGTGCTCCCAATCCTCTTGAGTTAGACTTTAATTTAATTTATAAGACATTTACAGTTAGTACTTGTTGTCGACATGTTAACTAAATGTTAAATTTATAAAGTATATATATATATATATAAATATTATATATCATATTATAAGAGGAATGACTACTTTTTTATTGAGCTATAGTTGGAGGTAAGCCTTATGTCATTAAATGGATATATACTGACCTACAGTTGGATTTTTTCATCTCACAAATCGATTCATAAGTATTTCCATTTGAGGCACAAATTGGTTGAGAATTATTGGATTTAATAGAATTGCATTCATGGGGACAGTCAGACAAATCTAAAAACACATTATAAAACTATTTAATATATTATAGATATACAGCAAACGTAAACTTATTTAATATACAGTATATATAAATAAGTTCACATTATTGACAAAAATAGACATTAAATTAATCTATAAAACTCTCGAAGCTTTACCTAAAGCTTTACATTTGCTTAAAATTATTGTAAATATTGTTATTAATAATAATAATAATAATTTTTGATACATTATTATACTATACTGTATATAAGTATATATAAGATTCGTTGTTAATAATTAATAATTTTTATTTTCTATAAGATTTGTCAAAAAACTTCTTTATTGAACTTTCAACAAAAAACAAATGAAAACATCTTTATATTAATAATAAAAATATTTTTATTAATACAAAGAGTTAAGAAATTTTTTGAACAAAAGCTTTTTATTTCCCACTCAAATGCCTTGAAATATACCAAATTTGGTCACAAAGTATATGCAATCCCCGGTTCTCTATAATATAATATATAATATAATCTCATTTTAGAAAAACAAATCAACTATTTTGAAGATGTTTTTTATAAAGAGTTAAAATAACATTTAATATTCAGTAAACATTTTTATAGTAAAAGTATTTAAATACTATATAATTTAAAATAAAAGATAAAACTATAATAACACTTTGTTTTTAAAAATTATAATAAATTTTTTAAATTATCATATAATTGTAATATAATAAATTTAATTTATACTTAATGTAAAATGGGAAAGTCATTTTTAGATATTAAATATAAATATTATTTAAAATAATAAATTTTAATGTGAAAAATGTTACTTTTATGGCAACTTTAAAATAAACTATTAATAGCATAAATAGTTAATTTGTTTTATTTAAAATATTAATAGTAAGATAAAATACTTTGTAATATTTAATTTATAGTAAAAATTATTATTATTATTATTGATTGAAATATAATATTATTATATTTACCCAGAATTCCAATATCTTAATATATTAATGATATACATTTATGTCCTATACTATAATACTGTATTATAACTAATATTTTTGCCGGTCATTAATAATACATGTATTATTAAACAGTATGTATCCTATAATACCTTTTTTATACTAAATTAAAAAAAATTGCAAAATAAGATATTATCTAAGTTATGAAAATTTTGAACAAAAAAAACTAGTCTCATATATTTTGTCATTGATTATAAATATAGTTCTTAAAAAATAAGCAATTATTTTTAAAATAAAATTGCATATTAAACTGACAATGATTATTATTTTTATTTCATAATTATTTGTTGTTTTAATAACTGTGACTATTTTGAATTATCATTTTTCTTAGAATAAAATTTTATTACTATATTATTACTCAAAAAAATATTTTACTATTATCAATGTTTTTTATATATAAGATTCTATGTTAATGTACTGAATTGTCTAATACAATCCCACACTAGAATTTTAATATTATTTTTTATTTGTTGTAACTATTTGATAAATTTAATAAATTTAATTATTTTTATTATAGAAAATAATAAAAGCTATTAAAGTAAAAAAATATTTTTTAATCTAATTTTATTGTGCTTGTGTGTACAAAAAAACAAATTACAGAAAATAAAAAAATCAATAAAAAGGCATATTTTGTCAAAATAAAATTTGTGTCCAAAACATTATCACATTTATAGTGGCAATAATAACTTGTCGTCTAAGAGTATCATAATTTTTCAAATGGTTTCACAAATTCAAAGCTAATTTTATATAAAATGATTGCATTGAAAAAATAGCAGTTTTATGAATACGATATACTAGTCTTTTGATTAGTGATATACATTGTATATGATATTAATAGTAAAAGTCATACCAATTCACTATGTGTTACCAATTGATATGATATTATAGTGCATGTATACCAGTATATACAACAACTTTTTAAAGAAATAAATATAAATATTTTGGTGACATTACTGATATGTGAAATAAAAAAAAATTTTCAAATACTGTTCGGAATTATATGTTATTATATATATATATTTGGGAAACAAAAATTCAATAAAAATATATGTGAAAAATCATAAAAACAAAAATATAATGCAAATATTGCTTAAAGGTTTTTTGAGTTTTTTTTCTTCAAGTGCGAGTCAACTGAAATTTTATATTTGAGTAAAATATTTGGTTGCTTAGTATATATATATATTACACCAATAAATCTATATATGAATTACATATATATATATAACTCTAATAAAAATAAATATCTAAAAAATCCTAATTTTATATGTTTTAAATGTGAAATACATTATATTAATAATAAAAATTCTTTATATAAAATTGGATAAATAAATAATATATACAATAATAATAAAAAAAATTGCTGACAAAAATAAACTGAATTTTTGTCTAAAAATTTTCTATGATATACACAATTGTATATTATAAATAATAAGTAGTTTTTAAAATAAATAACTTAATTATAAATATGAATCAAAAGTAAATACTAAAAACAATTAATTAGTGTTTACAGAGAATTAGTGTTTATTAATTTTATGTATGATATGTGTAGCATATAATAAATGTATTAATATAAATATCAGATAATTTATATGACTGTTAAATCTAGTGAATTACGATGTTATGGTGTTATGATGGGCTCCGGGAGAAAAACACGAGTATTCACTCTTTAAGAGCTGATGTCAATAGAGAGAAGATGTGAGATGTGCTTACAATTAGAGCACAGAAATAGAAAGAAAAAGAGAGAGAAAGAGAGAGAGAGAGAGAAAGAAAGAGAAAGAGAGAGAGAGAGAGAGAGAGAGAGAGAGAGTGGGCGCCAATCGATATGACGGCCACTCTGTCTATATATGTGCCGAAACACTGAACTCACTTAAATAGAGTGTCAGTTAGTGATGTTATATATAATCGCACTGTTATTCACAGAAAAAAGAGATAGAGAGAGGACTGACTCTTTGTCCAAAAATTTGTTGTTATCATCTCATTAGTGAACAAATGGCATAAATGGTTAAACTTTTCAATATTTTGTTGGCTTTTTCTAAGCAATTACTTAATGATATTATAAGCAATAGTAAAGTTAAAAAGTTCAGTTGATATACAGTATATATATATATATATATATATTTATTTATAAATATAAAATGTATATGTATATGTACATGGTCATTTTGACATATATCGGCACATTATTCAAACACGTGCTGAGTGCTGGTGGCAGAGGAGGTGCTATTGCAACCAAAGGTATGTTATCATTAAATTTTATTTTACTAAACCTTTTTTTTTGTTTTCAAAATATTTTTCATTGCTATATATTAATATAATATATACTATATATGATATATAAACTGATGAACAGGTGGTTCCGGATATCACGGCCAACCAAAGTTTGATCCCAACGACGACAGCGGATCATTCTCTGTGATTCTTGTGGTGATCCTTCCGGTCGCCCAAATGATTGCCGTACTGTTTCTTGTGCTACTTATAAGGATTTGCTACAGAAAGTACTGTTACAAACAACAACAACAACACCATCAACACAGTGAACAACATAACTGTGCGGTTAAAAAACCGATTCACGACATTGAAGCCAACCATCCGTCCAGAAGTTAGATCACAAACAAGTTTTTTGATTCAATGGCTAAATAAATCAAATGATTTGTCATCTTATTTATGACAATCATTATATAATAATAATAATAATACTTATATATAAAAAAACTAATAATAATATACAGCAATGCCTTCTTTCTTGTGTCAAAATACTCATAAATTTAGATTTTGTTTTGACATAAAATACTTTTATTATTTAAAGATATGTTGAAAATCATAAAATGTTAAACAGATTTCTTCAATTAGTTTGTTGTTATGTTATTTCATACAAAATATATTATCTTATATTATAATAACAATTTGGAGTACAATGTGATCAAAAATCCATCTTAACTTAAACCGTAAGATTTAAATCAAATTATTTATTAATTCTAAGTTTATTAATAAAATTAAATAAACAAATATTAAATAATAATTAAAAAATAATAAATTTTAAATACAAGTGTCATAAAAAATTGATAATTGACTTTCAAAAAACACAGCAAATAATGTTAAATCTCTATTGAATTATTTATTAACATTAGTTTTATTCAAGTGATAAAACTAGTGATCTATTTGTGAAACTCAAAGCTCAAGAATTAGGACAAACACAGAATATTCTTGATATCCATTATATTATATATTATAAAAACTGTGAATTGCTTTATCTTTCATTTATTTAGCTCGTCATCAAAAAAATATATAAATAATAATAATAAGATAAGACTTGTGAAAACACTCATTAATTTGAAAATCTGTATTAATAAATGTGTTTATATTAGTTTATAAATGTATAGTAATATATATGATCAGTATGTTTAGTATATATGATCATTGCTAATTAATTAGAATTAATATTAAAATATTAGCGTAAAACGATAAAAACTAATTAATTATTATTTACTAAAAATATTATGAATTTTTCATATGTCAATTGATAATGTAATAAATAATAATTATAATGAATTTTTGCATAAGTAATTGGAAAAATAGATAATCTATAATAATATTAATAAATACCATAATTGCAAACAAAACAACTATAATATCAAATTAATTAAAAATACAAAACTTAAAATTATACTAATTACTATATATTTGTAATAAAATGCAATATTTTATTGCAATAACTTAATAATAATAATAATACTAAAAATAATAACTATTGTCAAACAATTTGATAGCATTATAAAACATTTGACAATATAATTGATATGTTTTAGCTGTTAGTTATTTCTAAACTTTTTAAGTGAATTTATGGTTGTTTCTGATTAATTGCTTTGAGATTAATTTGAAAGCTTTTCTTTTTGATTGTTTGTTTGATTCGGTGTTTTTTAAGTTAAGTTTTTAGATAAATTAGTTTATATAAAAGTAATTTATAAATATATTTACAATTTTTATGTTTATTTATATATGAATTCATTTGAGAATATTCTTACAAATTTTATTTTATTCAAACCTTTCAATTTATATATATATATATATATATTATTTTAGTTATTATATGTTTATTATATTTATGATGCAAATAAAATTCATTTAGTTTTATTAGAGTCTAAAATCTAAAACAATTACATTTATTCAAATATACAATTTCAAGAAATTAATTACTTTTTTATATTGTTTGAAATGTATTTGAAAAATACAATTTTAGTAACATTTAACAATTGTATTTTATAAATAGATGATATTTAAACAAAACATGTATTTTATATTAAATTACATCAA